CGATCAGTCACTCCCATAGCAAGAGGGGTTGAGTCCAGAAAATTGTCTCTATGAGGTAGAGGGAGAAGACACAGGCTCTGCCCTCAAAACCCCTGTCAGGCTGCAGTGGGGGCAGACAGAAGAGTCTGCTGTGCAGGGGCAGGAGACATCATAGAGGGACCAAGGAGTCGAAGAAGGTCTCCAGGACATCCAGCATCCTCTGGTTCTGGCTCTAGAGGATGGGTGAGTTGGAGGTGAGGAGATGGGGAAGGTGCTTCTGGTGGTGGTGGTGGTGGGAACCAGCAAGAACAAAGGCCTGGCAAGAGAAGAAGTTGGCCTGAAGATCCAAGGCAAGCCATGCTGGATAGGCCAGAGAGGCCAGACAGCAGAAGCCCTTTAAGGCTGGGCAGAGAGGTGGGGCCATGGTGGGTGATGGGGCAAGGACGGGTCCTGTGGGGTCATTACTGTTGGACTGGGGTTGAAGTTAACTCTCTAGGGCCTGATTCTAAAAGGAAACAGAAGTTTTAGCTCCATGTGTGTGTGTGCGTGTGTGTATGTGTGTGAGTGTTAGTGCAGGGACAGACGTGTAGAGTCCCATGGGCAGGCTTGGGTCACAAGGACTCAGCGGATCAGCTTCTGAGGGTGGGTATAAATCTCCTAAGGCTGTCATAACAAATTACCATGGATTGGGTGGCTTAAAGCAACCAAAATTTATTCTCTCACAGTTCTGGAGGGTAGAAGTCCAAAATCAAGGCTTCAGCAGGGTCATACTTCCTCTGGAAAGAGGCTCTAGAAAAGACTCTTTCCTTGCCAATTCCAGCTTCTGATGGTTGTGCCCAACCCTTGACATTCCTTGGCTTGTAGCCGCATCATCTAATTCCCGCCTTCATCTTCACCTGGCATCTTCCCGCTGTGTGTGTCTGTCTCTGTGTCCAAATTTCCATCTCCTTACAAGGATACCAATCTTGGGATTAAGTTCCACTCGAATTTAGTATAATGTTATTTTAACTTGGTTACATCTGCAAAGACCCTATTTCCAAATAAAGTTTCACTCACAGGTGCTGGGGGTGAGGACTTGAGCATATCTTTTTGAGGGATGCGGCTTAACTCACAACAGGGAGTTTGAGAGGAGGAAGCCCCCATCGCTTCCAGCTGCGGGTCAGACAAGCACACGTGGGATTATTTTTCTGAAAAGAGAACAGCAGCTTTGAGCCTAAAAAAAGAGACAGATTTAATGCCTCGCTTAATGCTTAACGGACCAGCAACATGGTGTCACCTGGGAGCCCCATAGAAATACAGAATCTCAGATTCCTCCCCAGACCCACTGAGTTAGAGTCTACATGTTAATAAAGTCCCTAGGTGACTTGAAAGCACAGTTCAGTGTGAGAAATGGTGCTCTAATAAAAATCCAACTTTTATTTCCTTTCCCACCTATGGTCAGTCTAGCTTGCCAGTTTCCGTACATGAGTAAGCCTGGTTGGAAGCTGGACAGCCACATTGTCCTTTGTTCTCTCTTTTCATGTAACATGGTTTTGAGTTTCTCTCCCATGTATTGAGATTGCCGGCGTGATTCCCCTTTCTGGAGAGCATCAGGCTTGCCGAGCCAGTCCCTTTGTTGCATTCTTGGGCTGTGTCCGACTTTTTGCTATTTACAAATGTTGCTGCCGTGAACGTTTCTATACATATTCCTTCGGAGTTAGTTCCTTAGATGGAATTTCTGGAATCAAAGTGCATGAAATGTTGTGGACTCTTATTTAAATATCTTATCACTCTTCTATATCTGTGGACTATGACAACATAGCAGATTTCTCCGTTCTGCCCAACTGTGCATGGAAGCCCTGTGCACATTTTCGCTGTTGACATTGGGCAAGTTACTTAACATCGCTGAGCTTGGCCATTGCTTTATAACATTGTAATAGTGCTATATACTTTGCAGGGATTTTATAAAAATAATAATGACACCACTAACATCCATTTATTGAGCACTTTCTGTGAGTTACCTCATTTCATCCTTACATTTCTCTACAGAGTAGGCATGATTATCCCTTTTTCCCTTTTATAGAAGAGGAAACTGAGGCTTGGGTTAAGTAGTTGGCCTGAGGTTATACTGTAGGAACATCATGTGTCCCAGCCCAGGGTTGTCACATTTAGACTGATAAGGTCAGATAGTATGGATGCAAGAAGATACTGAGCACATGGCCTGAGCGCATTTGGACCTGGCTCAGTACTTGTTGGACTCCTGCCTCCGCTTCCCATGCCTGTATCAGTTCCCTTGGGTTACTCCCTGGTATGATATCTAGCCCAACATTGTTTCAACTGTACATCATTAACGATTCTCCAGTTTTATTTAACTTTCTCCCAGTTGGAAATGAGTTTTTAAATGACTCACAGGTCTGGGGTTAGGAGCAGAGCTGGCTCTGATCCTTGTAGCTAACTGACTCCTTCATCCCCAGGGACAAGGATGGCCAGACTGCCTGTGGCCATGAGCACTTCCCAGTGCTCCTAGGCTGAGGCTTGGCTGGCAGCCATGGGGTTGGGCAAGCCCTGGGCCTGGCTGTTGGGCTTGCCCACCGCTGCGGTCTATGGCTCCCTGGCCCTCTTTATCTCCATCCTGCACAACGTGTTCCTGCTTTACTACGTGGACACCTTTGTCTCAGTGTACAAGATCAGCAGAGCTGCCTTCTGGGTCGGAGAGGTAGGCCAGCACGTCTCTGGGGTGGAAGCTGGGCAGATTGCAGTGCTGGGACCCACCTAGCCAGGAGCATGGGGCAGGCAAGGTTGCCCACCAAAACTCAGCCATGATGACCAGCTCTCATGGCCACGGTCCTATGAGCCAGGGACTGTCTATGTATTCACATATATAATATATCACATATATAAACTTATCAGCTGGATACATTTGCTAGCTGGGCCCCAGATAGGAGTTTGATGGGGACAGTGGCCGCTAGAATGAGTTTTTTTTAGCAGAGGGACTGACCTAAGCAAAAGTTTGCAGGCAGGAAAGCTAGTGTTATCTTTAAGGGGTGGTGTGCAGGCTGAGCAGAGAAAGCCCTGGAAAGGAGGCTGCCCATAGCCCACCTGCCTCATTTCTCTTCTGCCCACAGACGGTGTTTCTCCTCTGGAACAGCTTCAATGACCCCCTCTTCGGCTGGCTGAGTGACTGTCAGTTCCTCAGCTCCCAGCCCCGGTTTGTGTCTTGGGAACAACTCATAACTTGTTCTGTCCCACCCCACCCTTTCCCAGGGCTGGAGGACCCCCACATGTTTGGGTTGAGGGAAGAAAGGGACCATTTTCAGCTGTTGTCCAGGCTTCCTTCCTTCCCAAGGGCAGGGCAGGCTCTGTCCAAGTTGGAGAAGTGGCCTTGAGTAATGGTTGGCCTTGATCACTTGGGGGAGAGATTGACCCCAGCTCGACTTGTCGGGCCCTCTGGATTGGGCGCTGTACTGCAAACACTCTGCTGCTTCTGGCAGATTCCTTTACCCTATCCCTGCTGGGTAAAGGAAGCCATCACAGGGGCACAGGCACAGCAAGAACTGCAGGCCTGCTGGGGCCCATCACTACCCCTAACCCTGAAAAATGGGTATCATACCACCGTGTGGCCCTCGGCCTGGCAGGCTGACAAGGGAACAGAGGAGCGAGTACCCACTGGTGAGTGTGCTTCCGAAATCGGAAGTTAAGGACTCGAGGCTCAGCAGGACCACCTGGTGTGAGTCCCACACTCTGGGCCTCCATGCCTCTTCTGGGGCCTGCGTAGGGGACACTGGGGTCCAAGTCTGCAAGAGTATCTACCAACAACCCTCCTCTCCCTGGCAGGTCGGGCACTGGGCTCTCCTCGAGGGCCGTGGTGCTGGCACGGGTACGGGCCCTGGGCAGGCATGGGCCGCTGCTGGCACTGTCATTCCTGGCATTCTGGGTGCCATGGGCCCCAGCTGGCCTGCAGTTCTTGCTGTGCCTGTGCCTCTATGATGGCTTCCTGACACTCGTGGATCTGCACCATCATGCCTTGCTGGCTGACCTGGCCCTCTCAGCCCACGACCGCACGCACCTCAACTTCTACTGCTCCCTCTTCAGCGCAGCTGGCTCTCTCTCTGTCTTTGCCTCCTATGCTTTCTGGAACAAGGAAGACTTCTCGTCTTTTCGTGCCTTCTGCCTGACACTGGCCGCTGGCTCTGGGCTAGGCTTTGTGGGGGCCACACGGCTGTTGAGGCGGCGGGTCGAGATGGCCGGCAGGGAGCCAGGGTACCCAGATCTGGCTGTGGACAGCGGGTGAGTGTTCAGTCCCAGCTCTCCAGGTTCCTGCCAACACCGTTCTGAATCTAATTTCAATGCTGGGTCTCCTGGCCGATGGGTGGCTGCCCTGGGATGGGGGATGGCTACGGCCCAGCCCTAGGCCATTCTTGACTCCCCTCTGCCCTATAGTCTGTGTGGAGAGGAGCTTCCTGTAGGCGGTGAGGAGGCGGGCAGTATCACCTTGGGCCAGTACCTCCGGCAACTAGCACATCACCGGAATTTCCTGTGGTTCGTGGGCATGGATCTGGTGCAGGTATGAGAGCAGTCCCCCACCTAGCATGGTTAGTATATGCCTCACTCAAGGGAACAGGTTCCTCAAAAGCCGGGAAGTCAGTTCTGGGCCTCTCGTGAGAACCGGTGGGTGATTCAAGGACAGGAACACAGTTTGCGTAGTGAGGAGACCTGGGTTCTAGCACCATCTGAGCTCCTAACTGCCTGTGTGATTTTAGGCAAGTCTCAGTCTCTCAGGACAGCCATGTCTTCACCTGCAAAGTGAGTGTATGAAAAGAGGCCCTTCTTTGGGGACTCTGTGACAATCTTTTTAACACACCAGGTGCCACACCTAAAACACATGTAGTGTATAAACTAGCCAAATTTAGAAATATTTTTTTATGTCATTATGCTTGTTTTACTAAAGTGTTTTCGATTAAAAAGAACAAACTTAATTGTTCTAATGACAATTTTGCCATACTTTCTGTTAGCAAAATTAGATAAGCAACAGATATATATATATATTTTTTGTTCTGGCATGTTCAATGTTGAGGGACACGGGGACGAAGGCTGCTCTTACTGCTCTCATTGGCTTTCGCCCTGTGCCCGGCTCCCCTCCTGCCCCAGCAGCCTCCTCACTGCCCCTGTTGGGTTGCAGGTATTTCACTGCCATTTCAACAGCAACTTCTTCCCCCTCTTCCTGGAGCATCTGTTGTCAGACCACATCTCCCTCTCCATGGGCTCCTTCTTGTTGGGTGAGTGTGTGCCTTGGATAGGCTGGAAGGACAGAGGCTTGCACCCCAGAACCCCTATCCCAGCTATAGGCACAGCCACCTCCCCGGCTGGGGCCCAGGTGTTAGAGGGCAGAGTCTGCTGTGGGGTCGCACCTCCAGCCCCCAGCTCTTTTCCCGAGGAAGGGGCAAAAGCCTGTTGGTGGTGTGAGTGGGTAGGGCTGCTCTCATTGGTGGTCCTGTTGGTAATAGTGCTACCCAGAGGCGATGAGGCACAGTGGCTGGTTAACAGTGAGGACTACAGTGTGACAAGCCTGGGTGTGAGTCTTGACTGCTTATTTACCGTGTGGCCTTGGGTGTGTTCTATTTAATCTCTTTAGACCTCCATTTCTCATCTGTAAAATATGTATCATGATAGTACTTACCTTAAAGGACTGTGAGGATTCAATAAAAGGATGTGAAATATCTCTCGGCGCAGAGCCTGGCAGGTCATTATGCAAACTCTGATTCTGGAAAATTGTGGAAATCGTGGCAGTGCCTCCTGACAAGGCTCCACCTCTTCTTCCCAGGCATCTCCTATGTCGCTCCCCATCTCAACAACCTCTACTTCCTGCCCCTGTGCCGGCGCTGGGGTGTCTACACCGTGGTGCGGGGGCTCTTCCTGCTTAAGCTAGGCCTGAGCCTTCTCATGCTTTTGGCTGGCCCCGACCGCCCCGGCCTGCTCTGCCTCTTCATTGCCAGGTATGCCTGCCCTCTCTGACCCTCACACCTCTGTCCCATCCCTTCATTCTTGCCCACTTTCTCTCTCTGCTGGCAGCAACCGTGTCTTTACTGAGGGCACCTGTAAGCTATTGACCTTGGTAGTCACTGACTTGGTGGATGAGGACCTGGTGCTGAACCACCGCAAGCAGGCCGCCTCAGCGCTCCTTTTTGGCATGGTGGCCCTGGTGACCAAGCCAGGCCAGACCTTCGCCCCGCTGCTGGGCACTTGGCTGCTGTGCTTCTACACAGGTGAGGGCCCAGGGACTGGCAAGGGGCTCTTGAGGCTCAAGGGGGCACAGCTTACCTGGCACACCAACTGACAAGCCTGGCTTTAGGTCCAGTGAATGAGACAATGGCAACTGGCCAACAGAGTCTGGGTCTGGGCCACCGTGGGCTGCCACACCTCTTCTGCCACTCCTCTGCATCGGAGGGGAGCTGAGTCTCTGATTCTTCTATTCTTTCAATAGTTCATTCATTAATTAAACAAATATGTATAGAATACCATCTCTACCAGGTGATGCTCTGGGAGATAACAATGAATAAGACAGACAAGGTCTTTGCCATCATGGAGTTTATATTCTAGTCAGGGGGAGGAGAGGTGGTGATAGACAGCCAAACAAGAACATAGCAGGTAGTGACAAGTGTGATGGCAAAAATAGAGCAGATCCTCAAATAATATCATTTTGTTCAATGTTGTTTTCTTAAAATATTGATGAGATGCCACAGGAATATACTCTTGTTTATACCAATTAGCTTATGGTAAAATTGGTTCGTTATACGTATTATTTTGCTTAAGGTTGTAGGACCTATCGACAACACTGAGGACTTACTGTAGTGTGACTGAGAAGCTACTCTGTGTAGTCAGGGAAGGTCTCTGAGGCGACACTCAGGATGTGGACTGAATGGGGAGGATTTAGTCTGGAAAGAACTCTGTGGATCCTAGATGAGGGAGTGGCAAGTGCAAAGGCCCAAGGTATCAGGAGTCGTTAGGAGATAAGGCTGGAAAAGTGATGTGGGCTCTGGGAAGCAGGTCAGGTTTTGGATTTTATTCTCAGTGCAAAAAGAAGCTATTGCAAGAGTTTTAAGCAGGGGACATGATCTGATTTACATTTTTAAGAGCCAGCTCTGGCCACTGTATGGAGAATGGATTGTAGAGAGGCTGTGGCAGAGGTTATGGAGGCTTGGACCAGGGTGGTGCTGGGGGTCTGGAAAAGAAGTGTTTGGGTTTGGTATGTGTTTTGGAGTTGGGAGAAGGTGAAGGATTGGCTGTTGGGAAGCACCGAAGTTAAGGAATCTAGGAAGACTTTAACGTTTTTAGCCCCAGTTATTGGGTGGATGGTAGTGCCATTTACCGAGAAGGGAAGAACAGGGGAGAAGCGAGGTCGGGGGAGAATCAGGAGTTATGGTTTGGACATCTGTGTGTGTTGTCTCATGTGGACTTTGGAGGAGCCAAGGGCTGACTCTGTTCTTTCTGCGCGCTCTCTCATCCTAGGTCATGATCTCTTCCAGCAGCCCCCACTGGCCCTTGTAGGGAGTGCCCAGCCCTGGCCAGAGCCCCCGGCCCCACCCCCAGCTCAGGCCCCGGTGCTCCGCCAGGGCTGCTTCTACCTGTTGGTGCTGGTGCCCATCACCTGTGCTCTGCTGCAGCTGTTCACCTGGTCCAAGTTCACACTGCATGGGAGACGCTTGCACATGGTCAAGGCCCAGCGCCAGAATCTGTCACAAGCTCAAACCCTGGGCATTAAGACTGTGTGAGAGGTGCAGCCATACCACTCTGCTGAGAACACTGCCTGCAATTTTGGGAAGGAGCCGCTTTTGCCAGCCTGGTGTTCTGCTCTGCCTTCCTTGGGTGCAGCCTGGAGGACAGATGGCAGAATGGGAGCTCCTGCGGCTGAGCCGGGAGCAGCACTGGGTCTTAAGATCCTGCTTGGCTGGCTGGCCCAACTTGGGCAAGAACTGGGCCAGAAGTGTTCAGGGACCTGCTTCCCCCTCAGGGGCAGGAGAAAGAAGAGGCCGAAGGACGGATGGGGCTGCCTCATGGTCACATGGGGTTGCCACGGGGCACGGAGTCCTATCCGACCACCTGGCTGGGGCTGCAACTTCATGTGGGCTCAGGAACCACTTTTGATACTGCAACTGCTCCCTTTCAACCAGCCAAGGGAAGCTGACCATAAGTCCCGCCTACCCTTCCGTCCACCCTTCCAGTGGTTTCTCTGGGTTCTCTGCTTCAGCTGTGCCTGAAGTAGTACGCCCCTGCTATTGCAGGGCTTCCCCACCCCCACCTGGCCTCTAAAGAGGTTCAGCTCATCACAGATGGATTAAAGTCTTTTTGTTCCCATTCCTGAGGTCTGTGCTGTGTGTAGAAGTGGTGGGGTGGGTAGCAAGATTCCGCATTTAATACGAAAAGCACTCAGGGCATTTTTCCAAAGATGAGTTGGGGGGCCACCCACATCAGATTCACAGAGGTAGCAGGGGGAACATGTGGACAAGTAGCTGTACAGGGGCAAAAAGGCTCAGCCTGCGGTCATAGCCCCAGTGCATTTCCACACGCCACTGCTGGACGTGGAGGTCAAGGAAGTGGCCGCTCTTAGGCCAGAGGCCCTCAACCTTGGAGTCAACAGGGAGCTTTCAGAAATGTCTGAGTTCTGTTCCCCAAGATTCTGATTTCATGAGTCTGGGGTATGGCCTGGGAACTATGGTTTTGGAAAGCTTTGTAGTGATTCTAACATAGCTGGGACCGAGAACCTCTGCTCTAGGCCAGAGTTTCTCAGCCTTGGCATTGACACATTTGGGCTGGATGATTCCTTGTTGTGGAATCACCCCTGGTCTTTGCTTAGTAGATGCTAATAGCATCTCCTCCCCTGTGGTGACAAACGTCAAATGTTTCTAGGCATTGCCAAATATATCCTGGGGGGCAAAGTTGGCCTTGATTGGGAACCACTGCTCTAGGCCAATGGTTTGTTGAGGGTGTGCAGAATGGCTAAGAATGTAGGCTCTAGGGCTATGTTGCCTGGGTTCCAATCTTAGCTAATCAAGGGCGGAACCTTGAGAAATTACGCGATCTCTCTATGGTTCTATCTCCTCGTCTGTGAAGTGGATGATAAAAATATCTACACTTTGTAGGGTTGTTGTGAGGATCAAATGGGTTAACATTTGTAAAGTGCCTGGCAATTCTCTGCCACCCCTCAGGTAAACAAGTTTAAAATGGAGGACTGGTTAATCAGAGTATCTGAGCAGGGGCCCAGGAACTGCATTTTAATAAGCTCCTTAGGTTCTTATACACGTGGAAGTTTTGAGAGCCTGATTTCAGGATGTCAAGAGCAGTTCCTCTCATTTGCTGGGACTTGGGCTAAGGTCTGGCAGTCTGATTGGTGCAACAGTGCCCTCTAGAGGACAGCCTTGGCCAGTTACCACTTCAGATTTAGGGCTCACAGCTCCTCCCTCTTCCTACCCAGCACTAACTATAGACAGAGGCCCAGCTGACAGGTCTATTGGAAGGACTTTATTTAAGTACACGGGGCCCCCACCAGGCAACGTGGTTTGTGCGAGGCTGTGTGAGGGACAGGCTTGGGCTAAGAGAAGGGAGGTGAGCTGGTTAAGCACACAGCAGTCCGCGGGGTCGCCACATCGCTCTCACACACACCTGTTGCTGTGGCCCACACCTGGCAGGACCTTTGGTCCTTGGACGGCATGGGGGAGAATACTGCCTGGAATCTGGGATTGGGGCAGGTCTTGGTGTCAGGTGAGGGTGCCGGTGAACATTTGCTAGCCCCAGCTTTGTACCATCTGGGCTAAAGGCCTTTGGACCACTGCTAAACCAGCCCAGTCCAGGGTAGGCGCCTGGCCCCACTGGATCGGAGGAGATGAACCTGAGCCCATCAGCTCCTGGGACTTGGGTCTGGTCTCCTCCCTCCCTAAACAAACAAGTCTAAAGTCAAGAACGGCATAAAATCAGCCCAGAGGGACCTTCTCATTTCTATGAGCTACTCCCCTGGGTCAGCTAGAGTGGGAAAAGGCAACTTGGTTAACTGCAACTCTTTCTCCAGTCTTAAGGGAGCTGGATCCCCAACACCCCTCCTTTACTAGGGCCTCTGTCAAAGGGTGATTCTACCTCCTATTTCAGGAAATCCAACCAGCAACCAGCCTGCTGACTCCAGGGCAGTGAGCAAGTGGAAGAGGGAGAAAGAAAGAGGCTGGTGGGAGTGGCTTTGAGTGTAGCCTCAGATCCCAAATGGTGTCAGCCTATGGATACTGTCAGTTCACCCTCAGCAAAGTGGCGGGGCCCCGGAGGCTACGCTAAGCTTAGGTGCTGTAAACATTAGTGTGAACAGGGTGACTGGTGGGCAGGAGGCGATGAGCTCCCTCTCTCCAGCCCCCATACTGAACAATCACTTCAATAAATAAAACTGTTTGAAGATGGCATTGCCCAAGGAAGGATGAAAAGCAATGGCCGGAGGCCAACAGGCTCCTTACTCTCCTGAGACCCCCTGGATGGGGGGCTAGGGGTGGGAATATTAACTCTGCCGCTAACCACAAGTAGCAGTACTCCTACCCTCCTCAAATGCCCAGTGTGGTCCTGGTCCCCAGGTGAAGTTGAAGGCATCCTGCCCTCTCCTGACCCCAGAGTCTCAGTAACAGCCTTCCCTGCCTCCCAAACCCAAACTTCAATCAAAACCAGACAGAACTCAACCCCAGTCCCAGTCCTCAGTCCATGATCAAGAGTCATGGAGAACAGAATGATGAGCAAGGGAAGCAGCAGCTGCCTTGGGCCTCAGGGCACCCTGGGGGCGGATAGGGGTGGGGCTGGCCCAGCCTAGAATGGGCAGCAGCAATGTCTCCCAGGGGTTGGGTTTACCTCCCTCTCTGTCTCCCCATGGTAGTAAACATAGTCCCAAACAGCCAGACAAAGGCCCAACTGACAAAGGAGTGGCGCCCTCTGCCAGCACTCTTCCCTGTCAGGGGCCAGTTAGTGGTCAACCCCAGGCCTCAGGCCGTCACCATCGTGGGTAGTTCATTGTCCTTTCTGGGCCCTGGGATCCCTGGGCCACACTGCACTCGCATAGGCGCACATACTTGTACCCACACACACACTCACACACACAGGCAGTTCCTCGCAAACACTCCGACTCAAGAAAGCGAGTTTTAAAGTGGAGTTAACTTCAGAGAGAGGTGAAGATGATGTCCCAACATTAGAAGGTTTTCCTGTGGATGGATCGGGCACCGTCTTCCTCGTATTCCTTCTTGGAGACCCACATCTTCTTAAAGGTGTCCAGGGAGGCGAGGATAGAGCCCCTAGAATAGAAGGAATCCAAAAGAACATTGTGAGAAAGAAAGTGTGTGTATTTGTAAAGTTGGCCAGGCCCCATAAGACCAAACCATATCAGGCTTTTCTTTAACAGGATGGGGTGATAAGGAGTAATGAATGCCTTCGCTTCCTGTTCTGCTCTTATTCACAGAACTACTCACCCAATCCATGTGGAATACAGTCTCTCCTGAGGTGCAGATATCTGTAAGGGCAGGTGGAAAGAGGAATCTGAGACAGTCATCCTCCCTTCACCTTTTGCCTTTCAACTTCCTCTTTATGGCCAATTCATCTACAGCAGTGGATGAATTTCACACAACTGGCTTTAAGTTACGTCCCTGCTGGACCCTGTGGCCTCTCTGGGGGGTATTGTGGCCAACATAACACTCATCTTGAGAAGCAGGTTTCCAGCAGCCCTAACTACAATTCCCAGAGAAGATAGGGCTATCTGGGGGCAAGATTCAGCTCTGCTGAGGGCTGGTCGGAGCAGTCTCCAAGACAGCAAGCGCACTCCTTCATTTAGGATCCCTCCTTCCTTAGGCAGGCTAGCTCCCCTCAGCAGCCACTAAGATGTTGGGACTGTGTCACAGGGGAGCAGCAAAAGTCAATCTCTTGTCAATGTTAGTTTCCCTGAAAGTCCTCACGTTGGGCCCTCAGCCTAGCACCCTGCCACATCTGAGTACTAGGACTGTCCCCTTTTGTGAAGATGGAAAATGAGATTGGGTCCTCTTCTCTGGCAGACCTCAGGGTCAGTGTGGAAGCAGGAACCATCTGGCAGTGCCTGTATAGTCCTGGCTACTTGAAAACCTTGGGCAGAGCTGGAGGGGTGGCCATACCACGTGGCACTACAGACCCTTGAAGCCCAATTCTATCCTGCCCCCGCCCCCGCCATGCTCCTACCCTGATCTTCACATCTTTCGGAGCCAGTTTCTTCACTTCACTCAGTAGCCTGTCACCAAATCCTGAATGGGCAGAAAAGGAGAATTTTAAGTCAATCCTCTGAGCATCTAGGCCCAGCAGAATCTGGAAGCTTCCTGGGGAAGGGCCCTAAGAGCAAAGACCAACCTTTGAACAGGGTGGAGCCTCCCGAGAGGACAATGTTAGAGAAAAGTGTGCGCCGCAGGTCCATGTCAGACTTCTGGATGGCAAACACCAGCACCTCATGGATGCCCTCACTCTCCTCGCCAATCAGGTCTGGCCTGAACAGCAGCTCAGGTGCCCGGAATCGGGAAGGACCAATCTGCAGGGTGACAGGCAAGTTTCAGAGGCTGGGACTGGGGCTGAGGTCCCTTTGGGAGTGGGAATGGAAGGGGCCCCTCTGTCCACCTCTTCCTAACCAGGTGGCTATGAAGGCCAGGCTCAAGGGCTTCTAGGAACAAAGATTGGACTTCTGGGAACAAATAAGGAACAAAAAGGAACAAATAGGGCTCCTGAGAAATGAGAGAGGAAATACCTAGGTTTAATCCTAGCTCTTGCCTTTTAATCCCAGCCAAGAGACCTCTGGCATGAATACATGGATTCATTCATTCATGGAAATTTCTTCGTATCGGTGGAGGTCCAAGGAGAGGCAACTCACCCTACTCTGTGCCCAAGTGGTTAAGGACAGCACTAACTACCCCTGTTCATAATCCCACCCTGACCTAGAAGAATGCCTCTGGTGCCTCCTGGATTCCACATGGGAGAAGCAAAGTCCCTAGCACCTTGCTTGGTAGAAGACGGTACTGCTCCAGGCAAGGGGTGCAAAAAGGAGGATACAGCTGACTCCAGCCTCCTCATGGGGAGTTCTGTTTGGGCCCAGAGCTTTTGGGGCCTGAGGGGACTGAGTGGAGAGGCTTGGTCGCCTACCTCAATGGTGCTGCCGTCAGGCAGGTAGTACTGGGCCTTCTCCGTCTCTAGTGTCTCATCCTTCTGGGGATTTATGGATAGGTAGCAGGCTCTCTGCAGAACCAAGCATGAGTCAGGCAGGCAGGAAACCTGGTGCCTACTTGGTCAAAGTGCCAGGGGAGTGATGTGCTGCTTCAGACATCTGCCCATCGCAGTGACTGCCCTACAGAGTTGCTGCCCTGAAGCAGGAGCAGGGAGATTTCTGTCGGCCTTCACTGAGTGGCACTTAGGATACGAGTTCCCATCTACTCCACTTTCATGGAAACTTGGCTCTCTGGATCTAGCTCTGAGACCACAACCTAATTTTAGTCCAGACTCAGGCAATTTTCTACTATTCATATGGTTCTGGGTCCCGCTTACCCAGCTCAGAGGTTTCCCTAGAGCCACAGGTGGCAGGAGGATTTAGTTTACTTAAAAAAAATGTATTCTGAATTCCTCAAGGATGTAAAAGAACATATGTAATTTGTACATAAAGTATAAAAAAAAGTGATCACTGGTGTACCCATCACCCAGTTTAAGAAATAGAAGCAGCTCCCTTTCCCTAAAAGATGGTAGCACTTTGGGAAGGTGAGTCTGTCAGTGTAAGGGGTCCCAGCTGGAGATTACACAGCCACCAAGTGGCCTGGCTGGGGAGAAAAGAACCTGGCCAAGACCCCCTGGATGGGAGCTTTGCCTCTCTTCACTCCAAGTCATGGAGGTCCTGGCTGCTCTGTTCTCATTCCCTATCCCGTCCCTGGGCCCATGGGGCAGCACTCACTTCTTTTATGGCCTTGACAATCTCAAACTCGGAGGAGGAGTGGAAATCATAGCCCTCCTTACGCAGGTAGAGACGAAGGAAGCGAGAGACGTCTCGGCCAGCGATGTCGATACGCATGATTGAGTGGGGCATGGCAAAACCCTCATAAATGGGCACAGCATGGGTGACACCATCTCCAGAGTCCAGCACCACACCTGTGGTCCTGCCTGTGGCATAACTGAAACAAAGTGGACAAACCATCACTAACCCCTGACTCCTCACTCTGGGAAGAAACTCATTTCTTTTAAGAGTTCAATGTCAGCTAAACTAAAGCTGGGGCCTGCCTTTCTCCAGGGGCTTTAGACTGGACTGAGTACCAGGAAGCCTGAGCATTGAAGCAAACCTTGAAATATCTGGATGAAAGGTGCTGAGCCTCTCCAGCTCACTCCCCACTTCCAGAAGAGCAGGCCTTCCAATCTCAGGAGATGGCCTGGCTTTTAACCATTTCAGGGACCTAGCCTGAGGGGCAGTTTTTACTCTCTAGACAAGAGGTTAAAACTCAAATTCCTACAGGGGCTAGGCAGGAAAAGTAAATGAGTAAAGGAAAATAAGATTTTCACTTCCACAAAAAAAACAGCTACCCCCACCCCTCCACATGGCCCTCTAGGCCTGTCCTGTTTTTTCTTTTTTAGTAGAGACAAGGGTATAGACATATAGCTCTGTAATATGATAAATAGCAACTGACAGTTTGCCTTCATGTTGGGAGAACAAGGAATGGAGTGGACTGTGGTGAAGTCAAACTAGCAAACTCGATCTAAAATGGCAGCTGCTATTTCAGCTCCAGCTGATTTCTGCCCTATGGGAATGCAGGCCCGACATTACTAGATCTTTCCATTTTTTTCAGAGAAGCCAGGAATTGGATTGTGATAGGAAATCTTCTGATTTTTAAATGCTGGCTCACAACTTTTTAATGGGATCAAACACATCCCCTCTGCAGGTCACCAATGTACAAATTTGGCCATAGACAACCTTGGTGTGAGGCAGGCTGGGAACATGACCCGAATGACAGGGGCATGAGAACAGGGACCACGGTGGTGTTTTCATCATGACCCTACTACCAGCCTCACATAGCACCTGGCACAAGTAGGCACTGAATAAATAATGTGAACACACTACAAGGCCCTTCAGGAAGAGCTGTAGCAGCAAGTGGCCTTCCCAGCAGGCAGAGCACAGAGCCTTGGGCACCAAACCCCTAGACAGTATGAGGCTGGGAGACAGTCTCAGTGTTCCCTTTCTCAGCATCTTTAACCTTTCCCTAGTGGGGTGCTCAAGTTGCTCTGAACCAAAGGAGAGGCATCCTTGATACCAAAGCGAAAGGACAGCTTTCCTCCCAAAGGACCAGGCTGGCCAGCCAGGCTGCTACTCACAGGCTGAGCACGGCTTGCATGGAGATGAAAAGGGCTGGCACATTGAAGGTCTCAAAGAAAACTTCAGCAGCTCGTTCCCGGTTTTTCCTCGGGTTTAAAGGCGCTTCTGTCAGGAGCACAGGATGCTGGTGAAAAATGCCCATAGGTCAATCAAGGCGAGAACAGATTTCCACTCCTCATTAGTACTGGGGTAAAAGCCTCTGTGGGGCTGGCTAGAAAGCCCAGGAAACCTTTGTTAGCATCTCTCCAAAAAACGGCAAGCTGGGCCTGTCACCTACCCATGCCCAGGTCAATTTCTCAATTTTCCAAAATCCTACCCCCTCAAGAGTCTCTGTTTTTGCCTCCACTCCTTTACTCCGCTCTTTTTCCTCCAAGATTCTTATATAGGTCCCTGTATACATCTCCAATTGTCAAGAAGATTTTGCTATACTCTAAATTTGGAATTATGATAAAAAAAAAAGTTAATTTTTTCAAAATAGAAAATTTCAATATTGAATGCATTTTTAAAAAACAGAACATAGCCTTCCCCCGGAAATTCTGATACACCTAGTATTCACGTTCCTTAGTGTTTCTGAGTTGAGGGTTACTTCCTTAGAAATTATAGGCTCTGAAGTCTGAAAGATATGAGTTTGAATCTCAGCTCTATCACTTTATTAACTGGGTGATCCTGGAAATACTACTTGGCTTCTCTGAATTTCTGTTCCCTTGTTTATAAACTGGAGATAATATTACCTACATGTGTAAGTAATGGTGTAATGGTGTAAAGATTAAATGCAAACATGTCTGAAAAGCACATGGCCTGGTTCCTGGCACATCGTAAGACTCAAACCCTCTTGGCAGTTATCCTCCTCCTCCTCTTCCTCATCTCTGGGGTAGGGATTATGCCCACTGCACACCCTGCAGGGCTGCTCCACACACAGGACTCTCACCTCCTCTGAGAAAGTCTGTAGCTGGTCCTTAGAATAGACATATTGCCAGATGCGCTCCATGTCATTCCAGTCCTTGACAATGCCATGCTCCATGGGGTACCGGATGGAGAGCAGTCCTCGGTGCTCCTGGGTATAGAGAACGGGACTTACAGCAGCAGTCAGCTTCTCAGCTGGGCTGCCTGGTGGATCCTGCTCATCCAGACTGGAGTTCCCCCCAACCTCAGTCCTCACCCAGGGCTAAGGGTGGGCACCCATTCTTGCAGTCTCCAACAGAATGCTGCAAATTGCTCTCACTGACCAATCAGCTAGTGAAGCAGAAGGCTTCTGCTTTTCCATGGGCCCTCGGGTGACCCTAGGGCAAGTGACAGGAGGCACCCTCTTTATTGCCTGGTCCCAGGACATATCTCCTGGCTCCCACCTCTGGACTTCAGCACTTGGAGCCAAGGTTGGCAACCATGATTATTGTTCTGCTTCTAGAGGCTGCCTGAGAGCTCTGCCAAACTGTGCTGATCAACTCATCCCCAGGGTACCCCAGCCAGGATCTCTCCCCAATCCCTTTTGCCAAAAAGGTAACCAAGCCAGTCAATTTGATCATTGGCAAGGTAGTGACAGAATACAGAAAGAAGGCAAAAGCCATTTTCTAGACACATCTCTGTTTCCCAAAGTGGGGTTTGATATTTTCTCTCCAAAACCAGAGGTTGCTCTGGGGAGAAATGAACCAACGAGGCTTAGGATGAGAAAACCAAAGGGGAGATTTTAAGAGGAAACTGCTCCTTTTACTCATGGCTATGTCTCTCTCTGGAACACTGCTGATGTGGGGAATAACGAAGGTCCTCTGCTGGCCTGAGATTTCTTCAATAGGACTGGGAATTACCTCAGCTTTGGGGCCAATGAAGATGTCGCCTTCGAGGGCTCCTGCCATGACACGAACGTGCTTGGGTCTGCCCACACTACAAAAGAGAGTGGGGAGGACCAACGCTTTTCATTTGGCAACAGAAAACATATCAGAAGGATGTACAGAGGCACATACTTAGGAAGAAATACACTCAATTCTACTGTGATTATCTTTGAGGAGTGAAGTTACAGTTGAGTTTCTTCTTTTTACTTTTCTGCATTTCCCAATTTCTATAATGAACATATATTAAGTTATTTGTATGTTATTTCATGTTTTTATTATATTTATATTATTTTATGTTATTAAAACAAATTTTAGAAGATTCAATATCTCTGCTGCTTCTCTTTCCCCAACATATGTGCAAACCAAGAGAGACAAGGAAACAAGAATTTCTACATGAATGTTAACTCAAAAAATTTCAATTTCCTTAGCCCCTGTCCAAGCCTTCTACTAAGTAGAACTGTGTTGTAACTGTGACAGATGGCTTCTTCCTTTTTCTCCCCCTTTAAGCTCCTTCCCCAAGCACCTGTGCCTTTCTCCTGCCTGCAGTCTCTTGGCCTTAGGAGGAAAGTGCCAAGAAACTCATTTCTTACTAAGATAGTTAATATAGTTTAATGTTAAAGCCCATCCTGGGTGATAGGAGAATTTTAAAAAAAGAGAGCTCCATGAAGAGGCAGTCATCCAGAGCAATGAGTTATCAATGATAACATTTTTGGCATTAGATCAAATCAAATTTTAAAATGAGGTCTCTTGCCTGTGCCTCTCAAATTGTACCATGTAAGCAACTGTTTCCTTTGCTTACTCCAAAAGCCAGCTCCTGTCTTTTGCTTGTTGTTTTGATACCAAGGTTGACCCGAATGACAGATCCCTTCTCCCTAAAAGACGGAGGGCTGACTCTGTAACAAACCTAACAAACCTCCCAAACTTCTAAGCTACAGAATGACTTACTAGTTTGGAAAGCAGTATTTGGGGATCTGATCACCAGCAAAACCAGCTTTAATCACACCAGATCCCTGAGGAGAGAGGAGAGAGAAAGCAAAGTCAGAAGCAGCACAAAAACAAGAGGAGATATATATCATATAATATGTATAATATGGTTCCATTTTTATTTAAGAAAGAGAGAGACCTTATATTTGTGTATAATATATCTATATACGCATTTGTATGGTGAATACATGTCGAAGGGAGGGAAGTGAGACTGAGGATGGTGAGAAGAACTTCCACTGCACACTCAAAGTATTATTTGATTTTTCTGTATTGTGTGACTTTTCTACATTGAACATGTTTTACTTTTCACATTAAAAACAATATTAATGAAGAGAAGAAAAAGAAAACCTGAGAAGAGTAGCTAGAAGCACCAAAGCAGACAAGTTCAGGAACACAACCAAGGTGGGAAGAGCGCATGATTCATTCTGTTATACACCATGAGACGCTTTTAACCTGCTTTCCCAGCTCAGGTCTGAACTCTCCCTGCCCTCCAGGGTGTCTATGACAGACACCACCAAGCACTGCCACACTTGAAGCTGACTTCGATGGAATACACATTGGCTGGTTCTTACAGGGGCAGACCACTTTGCTTTGTAGGGGTTTGTGGTTATTGTGTGTGTGTGTGTGTGTGTGTGTGTTTATGTTTTGTTTTACTCGTTAGTCTACTAATGATAAAGAGCAAGAAAGTCCTAAAGCATTGTCTAAGAAAAGAGACCCAACATTATAATCCTCTTGCTCCAACTCTTGGTATCTTGGGTGGGTGCCCAGAAAAGAATCTGACTTCTCCCACCAGCATCTCTGATACCATCCAGAGCCCAACCAAAGTAAACACTGACTCAAGACACAGATACCAACTCCGTGTAGCACAGCTGTCAAGGTTTGGTACTGCCTGCGGACACACCATGTTCTCTTCCTTCTTAACTCTTCTATCACCACACCTGATACCCTTATCCTTCCACCCCTACATGGTTGCAGCTAATTGGGACAAGCCTTTTCCTGCTGCCTGTCAACCACTTCTGCCGTGGTGTGTGATATTTCCAGAAATCACAAAGGAAGCAGTAAACACATCAGGAGACACTAAATAGCCAAGGTTACCTTTGCCCTAAAGGCTTCCCAGCAACACCCCTGGTTCCCTCCCTGTTTCTTATTCCTGCTCTTCTATGGGATAAGGGGTTGAGACAGGCCATCCTGGTGCCTGATTCTGGAAACACGGAGGGAGGAAGTAAGAAGTGATTGAAGGATAGGGAAAGCAGTAAGTTCAGCAAGGCAAGCCAGTTCTCTAAGACAGCAGGAACCTCTGCCAACAGAAAAGAGAGAAAACGAGAGATAAGTGCAAACTCATCGGGCTGGGCAGAATTGCAAGGAGCCTGGAAAAGGTGCAGCTGTAAACTGAGCTAAATGACTGAGAAGGAGGGAGAACTATCCTACTGCGACCTAAGGGCTCTGGGACAGCGGCATGGAGGCGAGAACAGCATTGTACAAGAGGACTCTGGGAACTTGTTACTCAAGCTTCCTATAATAGCTCACTGCCTTCATCTGGGTGTGGTAGTGCCAACAGACTCACTGAATCTCTTGGCAGAGGCTGAAAACAAGAAATGTAAAGATGAGACCTGTATTTCAGAGTCTAGATATTTTTAAAGAGATTATTTTCCTGGATTTTGAGTTTACTAGCAAAAGGATTAGAGTCTGAGTAACAAGGCAGATTAAGATGTTAGGTTCATTTGTTTCTCTCTGTCCTCCCATCAAGTGTATAACAGGCCCAGTTCAAATATCACTCACTACCTTTCTCCTGAAGACTAGTCTCTAAGTAGAATTAATTATTGTCTTTGATTATCTCATAAAATCACCATTAACTGTACCATTATGCAGCAGGCATTTTATTCTGCTTTGTATTTGACCTTATGGTTTCCATTTTTGTCTCTAGCCCAAGTTCCTTGAGGTCAGAGACTTTATATATAATCAGCAGTATCTGGCATTTGCAGGGTACTCAGATAGGCTAGCTGACTAAAATGAAAATCAAGCTGAAATGATTCACAGATGAAGTCTAATGTATGGAACTTGAAGAAGCAGCTGGAATGCCAGAAGCCCCAGGCAGAGGTGGTACAGGAAAGGCCAAGGTGTTGGGAATGATACACAAGACTTAGGAACCAGACCCAGCTTGTCCCTGCAGTCCCACGAGTGAGCCTGCCAGGCCAGCAGTTGGGTGAAGTATGAGTGGGGACAGGGGAGGCGGTTTCCTCCCTCTTTTGCCACAGTCAGGCACCAGGATGGCCCATCTCTCTATTCTGCCCAAGCCATACCATGAGATCATATAAAAGCATCATGTCAATTTCTTTAACAGTATTTATAACGAGGAACTGTGTACCTGGCAAAAGGGCTGCCACTCTCTTTGTTACTCTAGCAAAATAAGTAAACAAATGCCTTAGAGAGGCTTCTTGAAAACGTAGTCTCATTAAATACTTGATTTCTGAGGACTCAAATCTGCTGCTAGCTACCAGTAACCATTCATTCTCTTTCTGATGAAGGCAAACAAATAGCAAATCCATCAGCAAGGCTCTCCCAGTACCTGCTGGAAAGGAAGCTAATTGTCTCTCATTTTACAAGTGGGAAAAGGATGCTGAGAGATGAAGCCTCACATTCTAGGCCACTGGTGGCCCATTTTGGCCCAAAGACATATTTTGTTTGGCCCACAAAGTACTTTTGTTAAAAAGAACTTTATTGAGATAAAATTCACATACCACGCAATTTACCAATTTAAGATATATAATTCAGTGGTTCTTAGTATATTCCCAGACTTGTACAATCATCACCACAATCTAATTTTAGAACTTTTTCATTATCTCAAAAAGAAACTCTGTACCCATTAGCAGTCAGTTTCCATTCTACTGCCCATCCCTGGCCCTGGGCAACCAGCAATCTACTTTCTGTCTCTAGAGACCACAAACTACTTTTACATTAACTTCCAATGGTTAAAAATTGGAGGCTGCATATAAAATTTAACTTTTCTGATTTCTCTTGAAAAATCAGATCTGGCAACACTGTAGCTGGAAATGAGAAGCAGTTGGCCCTTTGAACAGGCATGCTCAATGCACCCTCTTACTATTTTTAAGGCTACCCTCTTCTTTTTTAACGTTCCTGCTTTGCCTCTGTAGGCACTGAGTTTAAGACCCCTACTCGAGGCAATCCCAGCAATTAATTCATGATATTTCTTTGACATGGTATCTGATTTTTTCTTACCCTCAGAGCATAGTTTGGAAGGAAGCACATCCTTAACTCCCAAAATACACATAATTGAATAGTGAGATATCTCTACAAGTCACCTCTTCACCCTTTCCATCAAGTGAGGGATGAATTCTTGCTGAAGTTGTACAACCTAAAGCCTGAATGCCACATTGCAAGTAGCCATGTTAAATAAATACATTGACTTCATTTCCTCGGTTAATTCTAGTTTAAGTCTCTTAAACGTAAGTGAATCAGCATTTCTTAAGAGCTGATGACAAATTGCAAAAAAATTTTTTTTTGAGACAATTAGCGAAATTTGAACATTGACTGGATATCTGATGATCTTAAGAAATTATTATTTTTATAAGGTTTGATAATAGTATATTGCTTATGTTTTTAAAAGAGTATGGGAGAGGGAAATGGGTAGGAATGTAGTAAAAAGATTGGTCAAGAGTTGATATTGTTACAGTTAGGTGATGAATATATGGGTTTGTTATACTATTCCCTCTCTTTGTGTTTTATGTTTGAGATTTCCTATAATAAAAAGAAGACCTGGCACATAAGATGCTGGCTCTTAAGAAAAATTCAAAACACAAATACTACACATATACAATATAAAATCATAGATGGAAAGGACCACATCAATTTTATGACTATGGTTGCTTCTGGGACAGAAAGGATGGGATTGTAAAGGGGTATAGAGAGCTTTCAATTATATCTGTAATGTTTTATTTCCTAAAAAGAAATCTGAAGCAAATATGGCAAATGTCAACATGTCTTAAATTTGAATGGTAGTCTATGGCCATGCCACCCTGAACGTGCACGATCTCATCTGATCTCAGAAACTGGTTAGTATTTCGATGGGAGACCACCTAGGAATACCAGGTGCTGTAGGCATTAAAAAAAAAAAAAAAAAATTGAGTGGTAGACACTGTGCTATGTGGGTGCTTATTATATATTTTTCTGAAATTTTCTGTATGTTTAATGTATCACATTTTTTAAAAGGGTGCTAAAGGAGCATAACATCCATCAAAAACAGTAAAACTCTTATCTTACTGATTAACTTGTAAGGATCTGATACTGTTCCTGAACTTAGGTCCACAGAGTCACAAAGACAGTTCTAAGACTGACCAATGTTGATCCATTTTAGGACAGAACTTAACCTTTGTGATCTTAGCAAAGACTTGAGCTTTGACATAAACATAGCAATCTAATCAAAGTGTTGTAGTCCTCAAAATGTTGCTGGGGAGCTGCCCTCCTCTTGTATTACTGTTGTGTTGTATTGTACACCTTTGGGAAAAGTAATTTTAGTTTTTAAAAATACCTATCATTTTACTATTGTCATTAAAGCACAGGCATGGACACACACATCCTCATTTTCCTCATTAAATTCTGATGATTTGGTTTGGTGCCAGAATTGGATGAAAGGAGTGGTCAACAATTGTCTTAATACTGAGAAATGTTGTGAACCGATAATGAGGCTCTTCCCTCTTTTCCCTGCTTTCTTTCTTCTCCTTTCTTTTAAATACACTCTTCTTAGCCCAACAATAAAACTGCAGTAACATGTTAAGCTATGAAACTGTTAAATCTGATAGAGACGCATTAAACTCATAATATAAAGCTGGCCCGAATATTTCAAATAATTCTTTCCTATTCATCTTTCCCTTTGAAATAAAACAAAACTCTCTAAATGTCAAACAGCAAGAACTACTCGAGGCCTCAAATTTAAAAACGTGGCAGATGCTCAGTAAACCCTAATGGGAAAATTACTTGTTTCTTCTATTTCACCTTTTGGCAGAATTATCGGCATAATAAAGAAAATGCTTTCGCAAAGAAAAAACAAGTCAATTCTTTAAATCGTAAAACTAAAAATGGAGAGAAGAAAAGCTAACAACAAAAAAGCACCTTTCCTTGCAAAAAAGTAAGAAACTTGGAACACGATCTCAATTTGAGTCTTGGCTCCTCAACTCACAAACCTGGTAGTTCGAATACTGTTATTGAACCTCTCCAAGTCTCACTGTCCTGCATAAACTGGGGATATTCATTCCCATCTACCTACCACAGTTGAAGCTTAAAAGAGATGATGCAAATGAAAGGACCCTGCAACATGCCTAAGGTCCCAAAGGCTAGATCAACAGAGAGAATCTGACAACTTAGGAGAGGAAACTGGCAGTTTTGCCTCAACAGAGGGACTCAGAAAGGGCACAGAAAAGGTTATCAACCAAGGTTGGTGTGACCACGCCTTTGAGTGGAAGAAACAAATGCAGTTGTTTCACAATTGTCCCCCTCCGCCCAAAATAATAGCAGTATTTAAATTCTTTTCATTTGTTATTATTGATAAATTTGCCTGGGGTACAAGCAAGGGGAAGGACAGATAAAGCACTGCATTTAGGGCACCTCTACTGTGCGACCTTGGGCTCACTTTACCTCTTAGCGCTTTTTTTCTCATTTGTAAAACGAGGATCTAACTTCCTGTAGTAACGATCCACTAAATTTTTGTGAGGATCCAACTCGAATATATGTGAAATCCCTCCGTAAGTGCTAGAGCTCCTGGCAAATATGTCAGTAATTTTTCGCCCCAGCAACTAGGCATTCGGAAGAGGAAGATACCTCCGTTTGCTTTGTCACTCTCCTTTCTTCTCGACTTTTATTAACGCCATAACTTATAATCACAGAAATAAGTGAAATCCTATGACCATTTCAGATACCAGATTCTCAGGCCCCACCCAGATACGTCGTCAGGCCGCCAGGCCTGCTCGGGGCCGAAGGAAACTTAGCCCTTCTCCACCCGCGGGCGGGCTCTAGCTCATCAGGCCCCGCCGCTGAGAGTTCCGGAAGCCAATCCCCACAGCCTTCGTGCACCGCCCCGCCCCTGAGAGAGGAGAAACACTATGGCGGCCCGGAAAAACGTCAAAGGCGCAAGCCAATCACTGCAGAGGACAGCCCTCATCAGGCACCGCTCAGAGGCGGGGTCATCAATCATAACTGACAGCCAGAGCGGCCAATAGCGTTATCGGAAACTGGGGGAGGGCGGGTGCCGGGCGCTCACAGAGCGGTTAAGGCCCCTCGAGCCAAGGGCCCAAGGACCTGGTTTGGACTACAGCTTTTCTCCTTATCTATCCCAAGTTCTCCATCCCATGGTTGCTGGTCGGCTTCCCTGCCTGTGAACTACGGGAGGCGGGAAGGACAGAGGCAGCGGCGGCTGAACCCGCCTGACAGGCCAGACCAGTGACAAAGAGCCGGCGGCCCAGACTGAAACCTGGGAAGCAATCCCTTTGGGAAGGAGAACATAAGTCCCTTTAGAGATAGGAAAGATGCAACTCACGTTGTCGATCACAACAGGCTGGTTGGCGATCACATCGTAGGACTCCATGGCAGAAGAATTTCTCCTTCCGAGGAAGGAACTGGCTGCCGGGTCCGCTGCTAGCGCTACTGAAACGCATGCGCAGTCTAGCCGCCGGTGCTGGACAGCTAGGGAGCGGTCCGACCTCTTCTCAGAAGAACGACAACCCCCAGCATGCCTTGCACCTGCAGTTAGGAAGCCACGCCCTTTAGGAGCCCCGCCTAGTTTAAGAGACTCTGCGTCGCGTTTCCGACACGCAGTACTCTGGGCTTTGTAGTCTCTATAGGTAACTAGAAGAGGATGCAGATTGACGGTTGTATTGCACTCTTGGATCTGTAGTCCCTTTGAAGGGATTCTCAGTGCTTGTTGAAGTACTTGTCTGTAGTTCGCTTTGGATTGGTCAGTAATTCGTGGACGTTTCGATTTTACAGATCAGTCCTGCCACTTTCCACCACTTCTGGACAATATAAGGTTACCGTGTTTTTATTGGGGTCCATAAGACATTAGCAAACATCTATCACCATCGCACTCTAATAAAGGTAATTTAACACACACACACGGACAGACATATTTCCAGAATAAAGGAAAATAATTTGCATGAAATTTACTTTTTAGGAAAAAAAGTGTATTTTCATCGTTTTTCGTGTTTTTTTCCCTGGATGTGTGTAAGTTTGGCAACAGGCTAACATTGATCTGAAGACTAGCCTTTGGAACTACTGGTATAGAATTGACATTGGTGAGTGAGAAAATTGAGGTGAAAAGTCACTGCTTTCAAGGTGTCACTGCTTTCAAATGAGCTAAGCGCATTTTTCTTTAGATTTTTTCTTTCCCCCGCTTCACATTGTAGGGACTCTTTTAGCCAATAGGTAGTCAATAGGTAGTCAGGACTCTCTTCTATCGCTGTCTCTTGGAATTTCTTCAAGATAATTTAGTGGAAAACATTATTTTTTCAAAAGTTATTGTAAACAGAAAAATAAGTCCCAATCCAGGGCCTTAGGAATTAAAAATTCTCCCAGTTACAGAGAGTCAAGGTAATAGTAGATAACGGATATGGAATTCCTCAAGGCAATCTGCATATATCTGCCTGAAACACAACAAAGAAGAGATTGTCATCATCACTAAAAACTTTTATTAAATAATTACCAAGTCTTTTTAATTGATCCTAGTTTACCTAACTCTTGTTATTTTCTGTCAGAACTCCCAAACAGGTATTTCGACATACAACCCCTGAGTTCAGCAGTGTCAGTCAATACGGTCAGTGGACATTCAAAGACGTAGGAAGCATTCAGATTTATAATCTATTAAGACTAATGCCACATGCACAAATGAATCAATCTATTGTCAGATTTATGTTTAAATCCTTGTTAGCAGCGTGTCAGCAGACTAGTGAAACCCTTCGTTAGCACATTTCCTAGTGTTTTCGTGGGACCCTAGCACCTCATGAGGATGGTTCCACAGCTCTATTTAAACGTAGGTTCCTCCTAACACTAGGGGGAGGCCAAGAGCCTTGGGAAACCCCTGACACAGGGAGTGAGAGGCGGGATCTATCGCCAGGGCAAGCCGTCCGCCTGTGACTGGCACAGACACTAGCCAATGGGATCCGTAATAGGGCGCGCCGCTGCCCCGCCCCTTTGAGCGCCCCTAGGCCCCCGAGGCACCCTCTGGCGGTCTCTGAGGCGGCGACGGCTTGGGCGGACGGTCCGCCGTGCGCAGGCGCGGAGCCTAGACCTCGCTGCAGCCCCCATCGCCTTGGGGAGTCGCACCCACCGGGTCCGCCCGCTGGCGCGTCTGTGCTCTCCCGCTCGTCCGCCCTCGCGGGTCCTCTCAGCGCCCTACGCGCCCGGATGGCGGAGCTGCGGCCTAGCGGCGCCCCCGGCCCCGCCGCGCCCCCGGCCCCTGGCCCTACTGCCCCGCCGGCCTTCGCTTCGCTCTTTCCTCCGGGACTGCACGCCATCTACGGAGAGTGTCGCCGCCTGTACCCTGACCAGCCGAACCCGCTCCAGGTTACAGCTATCGTCAAGTACTGGTATGCCCTGGGCCGTGGGGAGACCGACCCGGCGCGCAGGGCAGGGTTAAAGCACCAAGGGCGAAGTAATTTGCCAAGGAGGAGGAGGAGGAGAAGGAGAATGGTTAAAGCACTTGAAAGGAGGGCTTCCTGCTGTGAGGGAAGGAGTTAAGGCTCAAGTTGGAAATGGGGACAAAGGGGTTAACGGAGCCTGTGGGTGGCAAAGGGTTAACGAGGGTGGGGAGGTTGAAGAGTTAACTAGGACTAGGAGAATAGAGTGAATTGAGGGTGTGTGTAGGAGCAGAGAGGGGAACCAGAGGAGAGTGGGAACTGTAAACGTGGTGAAAGGAGGGGGCGCCTGTAGGGGGTCATTAGTGGGCG